CATATGTTTATATACATATACCTACGTTTATATATATACCTATGATTATATATACATATGTATGTTTCTTTATATACGTATGTTTATATATGTATGTTTGTTCATGTGATGATTCTCTCGTATGACCTTCAATTAGAGTAGGCCCTGGGTTACGGAAAGGTTTCTAAATACACTCACATACGTATAAAATACAGATACCAGATAGCTGCATGAGCAGATAGATTTTTTGTACCTCGTATCGCCTCGAGGCAGTGGCTCTATCTTCCTTTGCCCACCGTTTTACGTGATGCCTTCCCCTTCAGTAAACACACAGCTCAACACTGACCGCCCTAAACCCTAAACCCTAAACCCTGGCCCTTCATGCGGTCATGTGTGTCATCCGTCCCTGCAGAGAGTGGTTCTTCTTGCTATCGCATGAGATGCTCAATCCAAACTACTGTCTCTTCGAATACGCCAACGAAAACCACACCACGCTCAAGATCAACTCAAACTCCAGCATCAACCCAGAGCATCTGTCGGTAGGTGGCAGCACCACCACTGGCCCATATGTCGGTGGGATGTGTGCGGATGGTTACGTGCATATGTGTGTGTACTACCACAAGCTCTTAGTAGGTTACATGTATATGAGTATTTTTTATGTATATAGATCTTTTATATATACGTAAAATTTGTACACATGTATACATGCATACAGGCATAAGTAGTATACGTGTGCGTGGATATACAAGTTGGAATGCCTCGTGATCTCCTCCAACTCCAAATCAACCTTGAACATCTGTACACCATATAACCTCTGACAGCACGCTCTATGTTTGCCTTCTTATACCTACACCTTTTATCACCACCGCCACAGTACTTCTACTTTCTACACCTCATCGGACTGCTATAAAACCTCATCGGACTGCTATAAAACCTCATCGGACTGCTATGTTTGCATTCCAATTCCCAAATATCTTATGCCTACCGCCACAGTACTTCCACCCCTACACCTCATCGGTCTGCTAAGTTTGCCTTCGCATGCCTACCCCTCTTATCCCTACCTCCACAGTACTTCCACTTCATCGGGCGGGTAGTGGGTATGGCGGTGTTCCATGGCAAGTTCATAGACTGTGGGTTCACGCTACCGTTTTATAAGAAAATGCTCCGCAAACCACTGACACTCCAAGACATGGAAGCGGTGGACCCAGAATACTACCAGAGCCTCACCTGGCTATTGTGAGTGTGGGTGTTTGTGTTGATTTGAGGCGATATTGTATACGTGCGGGTGTGTGTGTTGTTGAGTGGGTGTGTTGTTGGGGGTGTGTGTTGTTGAGTGTGTGTGTGTCGTTGAGTGTGTGTGTGCAGGCGTACTTTAAGCTCCTCCTCCAGCGCTTCATATCGTGTTTTCCATGTACTTGTTTAATCTACCACTAGTCATAAATTGCCTTTAATTTCTATTTAATCTACTCTTAGTCGTAAACGTGACTTTAGATGCTATTTGATCTACTATTAGTCGTAAACATGGTTTTAGTTGCTTGTATATCCATATAGTAAATTGCATATAGACATTCCCGTGTTTTCAGTTGATTACGTGCGCCAGAATAAGCACTCACCCCAACTGCCAAAAAAAAAAGTAGCACAGGTATCTATATACCTCTCTGTGTGTATCTAAGCGTCTCTGTATGCACACCTGTCAAGTATATATGCGCAACTACTTTTGCTAAAACGGTTGTGATCATAGCAGCCGATCACTGATATTAATATATACGCACACAACAGGACATCGATGTGACCACAATACACTCATTTGGAGTGTACTCGTTCATATGCCAATACACTCATTTAGAGTGTACTTATTCATATATCTCTCTCACTTTCTTAAAACCTTTGACACTCTCGTGCGTATGCCCACCCCCACACCACACACAGAGAGCATGATATCGATGAGTTGTACTTAGGAATGACATTCGCAGTCAACTACGACGCCTTTGGAGAACGACGCACGCACGATCTCAAGGTTGGGAGGACTGTGTGTACTCACTATTGATATATATATATATACTTATATATATATATATATATATATATATATATATATATATATATATATA